TCCATTTATTTGTATAATTTCTTAAATTTTTCCTGCTGACTTTGGAGTTTCATTCCATTGAGGATCAGAAAAGCTGCAACATATGATTTCAGGGTTTTTTCATTTCTTTTTCACTTTTTGGGAGGGGGGCTTAAAGACTTCTTTTGTGCCCTAACATGTGGTCTATTCTAGAGGAAATTCTGTGCACTGATACACAACTGTATCCTGCAGTTTTCAGATCGAATGTTTTGTAAATGTTAAGTGTAATTGGTATGATTCTTTGTTGGATTTTTGGTTTTGGCCTGGATGATCTGCCCCCTGATAAAAAGTGAGGTATTAAAAATCCCCTACTGTGTGGCTGGCTGCTAAACAGATGACTGCTGTTAAAAAGAAACAGTAGTTAGTCCAGGGACAAGAAAGATGCTTTGAGAGCATCTCAGGAATCAGCAAGACCCCACCGATCACAGGCTTGAAGCTGCAAAAGGGTCGTTTCATTTGGGAGGAGAGCTCCTGAGACTCCTGCTTGAGAAAGGCCTTCAGGGAATTGATTTCCCAGGATTCACTTCACTGTGCCCAGCCATCCAGGCACTCAGCCTCCATGGTCCAAGGGGGCCTGGCTGCTGCCCACACTGGTGGCAAACCCTGGCACTGTCCACGATGTTGTTTTTTTTGGATATGCAGAATGTAAGAGTTATAGGGTCAGGGAGATCTCTACAAAGATTTTAAAGGAAGGCCTGAGGGGCAAGGCAAGGAGCTCTTGAGGGTGATGCGTGAAGTTGTGGGACTGAAGCCCAAGGTGCAGTGATGACCGCAGGAAGCTGGAGATGCCAGGGACACGGAACATCTGATGAGGAACGCTGCAGGCCATGAGGGTAGCCAGCCCGAGAGGCCATGTGGGCTACAACCAGCAAAGCCACAGAGGTGGGGCTTAAGCCCTTGGGAGCTCACATCCCACCACCCACCATGTGCCCAAGATGCTGGACATGGAACCGCAGGACTTTCACACTGCTGGGTTTCAGTCTTGCTTTGGTGGTATAGACATGGGATAACTGTATCATGTTTGGTGGAATTATGACCTTGTGTCTATTCGGAGATTAAGAACGGTTTAAGATGTGTTTGGGTTTCCAGGTTGGCAAGGAGTGGGATGTGTCAGTAATGGTGGATGCCAACTTGACTGGCTTGAGAGCTGCCCAGGGGATTAGAAAAGCACACTTCTGAGTGTCTTGGAGGCATACTTGGTCTCTGGCCCCTACTTCTGCCTGTATTCCCTTACTCTGCTTCCCAGCCGGCATGAGCTAAGCAGCTTTGCTGTGCAGCACCCTCCTGCCATGTTCCTGCTTTGGAGCAAGCCCTGGACTAAACCTTCTGAAATCGTGAGCCAGATTACCTCTGTCCTTTAAGTTTGGGTATCAGGTATTTTGTCCCAACAACAGAAAGGCTAATACACTGGCATTTTTGCTAATTACCCTCTTACACAGTGTTTCTCCCTCATTTATTTAACATGTGGCACACACACACTTCAGTAATCTTTTTCTGTGAGACCTTTTTTTTCTTGTTATGTAGTTTTAACCTTGCATTCACTGTGTAGCCTAGCTTGGCCTCAAACTCAACAGTCCTCCTGCGTCAGCTTCCTGACAGCTGGGATAACAAGTGTGTGCCACCATTCCCAGCCTTGGTGAAGGTCTTTTTGCCTAAAGTCTCTCAGATTTTGAAAGAAAATATCTTCAGTTTACTTTCTTTTTGATAACTCCATTAGAAATACAGTTCTAGATTAAGCTGAAATTATTTTTTCTGGTTCCTATGGCAGCCAGAGAGAACTGTCTGCAAACTGTTGTTTTTGTGTAAGGGTAATGTCTTGTCTTTGTGGTTGCCTTTAAGATTTTTCTGTCTTTTTCATTGTGCAGTATTTTCTATCTCTGATTTGTCACAATTCCTAAACGTGAAGACTTGTTACGTCTAGCCATTACCACGTACCATACTGCTTGTTTCTATGCACTGTTTCCCCTCTAGGGTTTCTACCGCCTGTATACAAAGTTTTCATTCACTCTGCCACACCTTTTAATTCTTGTTTTTTTCACCACTTTCCACAAATGGTGATCTCCCTAGCTTCGTTTCTGTAGTTTATTCATTCTCTACTTCTTTGTAACCATTTAGTCTTGCTACTGAACTTTTTGGTATTATAATTTTCAATTCTAAAAGTTTTTTAGAAGTTAGTTTCCTTCTCTTAAACATTTTTAAACAATTTTAAATATATTTATAGTCTCCACTTGATAATTAAGTTATCTGAAGTCCTTGGGGTGAATTGTTTCCTTGTGTGTTACTGTGAACTGTCAGCTCAGCTTTATTGAGTTTTTATATGTGGGTATCTTGTATGGCTGATTTAAAGTTCAACAGTCTAAAAAGAAATCCTCTTTAGCTAAGTACCCCAGAAATATCTTTCATTTGAATGTCATAGGATTCCCAGACCATACATGTGGTGTAAATCTGAACCCCAAATAGTGAGAAGGCAGGGTAACAAGTTCCCAGAAATTACTTTTGTTCTCTGACCTGAGTTCAAACTAACAGCATACTAAAGGGTGGACAGTTGCTCCCTCCTATATCCTTTCATCAATGAATCTGATTTCAGTCCAATGTATTTGTCATCTCTCAGGGATGAAGGTATTACCGAGGATCCCTATGTAACCTTTCCAACCCAAGCATCCTCAGCACCTGCCTTTACTTTCAGGCAGTTACAGGGTGCCAGCCACCCCATGCTACTCTTTAATTTCCCGTACCCCCTCACCCACTCACTAAACTTTCAGGTTGGCGGTACATCTGAGAGGGTGTTTGCCGTGTTTGTCCACCACCCCAACGGGGTGCAGCAGCCAGCTTTTCAGATTAGGTCACTGCCTGCCATCTGGGGATGAAGTCTAGAGTCAGCTTTTTAATTGACTCAATTATGTCAATTAAAAAATTCATCAAAACTGAACATGACACTGAGCTGTCACTGAACTTCCCTGAGCACGGCACATCCACTGGAAGGGTTGCATTTCTCAAGTGACGCCATACTGTTCTAAGCACCTTTCAGCATAAACTCTTGGCAAAGACCAGGACCAACACCTGATGCTCTGTCAGCCTGGAGATATTTCCGTGAGACACGAGGCAAGAGGTGGCGAAGATGAAGGCCCAGGGGAGTATGTAATTCAGGTCGTCCTCAGTGCCGGTTCTGTTAATACGTATCTGACAACAGCTGTGTAAGACTGGTCAGGTTGTAAGATCAGAAGTGAAGCTCATCAAGGTTAAAGAACTTCCCCAAGGTCATTGTATTCACTACTGCAGCTGCCTGTAAAAATCCACTTCTTCCCCTGCAGCAGGGCCCGTAAAGTCATTCTGAGATGGGCCAGAAAATACTTTAGACCTTGCAGGCCATGGGGCTTGTTTACTCAGTTCTGTCACAGCATTAGAGGAGCCACTGGAAAACAAAGGAGAGCGGGCACGTGCCCACGACACTGAGGACACCAAGCCTTGATTTCATGTCTGACACGATCGGGCCGAGACCCACACAGGACCAGACTGTTACGGTCTGTGTCTGGGTGTCCCCCAAAGCCTCACGTGGCCACGGGGCAGGCTTTTAGAGTTTGACTGATTATGTGTGTGAGAGCTCCACCCGCCCTGGGGTGGACAGTTTGCGTATGTAAGGGAGAGGAAGAGACTGCTTGCCGCCATTCCTCCCTTCTGTGCTTGTTGCTTTGCTGTGTTCCGCCGCCATGAGCCGTAGCCCTCTGCCCTGGGCCACTCTGCCTTGTAACCTGCCAAGTATGGACTGAAACCTCCACAAACTGTAAGTACTTTGTCCCAGCAACCAGAAAAAAGGAACCAAGACGCAGACCAGACCTTCTGACACGGGAAGTCTTTATTGAGGGGAGCGACATGGCGGGCTGCCCCGCGGACTGGGACAGCCCCGAGCTGAGCAAAGCATGGGGTTTCTAAGCTGTCTGGGAGCCAGAACGTATTGTGGGAGGGGGTGTCCGTGGGCCAGAACAGCCCGAGCAGGGTGGGTTGTTTGTAAGAGCTGAACGTCTGGTTCCGTCCAGGTGGATGAGGGCGAGGCTGGCTTTTGTGGAGAGGAACTGGAGGGGAACAGCTGAAGAGGAAGGAGTTTTCATTAACTCCTTAATAAAAAAGCTTAAATCCCCCATGGGGGGAGGGGAGGTGTTTGCCTTGTGATTTATCAATGTCATTTTCACATGCGACAAAATATTTGGAGTTTTTCAATCATATAAAAATGTAAAATCTACTCACTGGTGATGCGAAAACAGGCAGGCTGGCTGTGGCCCTGGTTTGCTGACCCGTTCTACACCACACCCTGTTCTTACAAGTCAGGCCTCCTGTCCTGGCTCAGGAAAGACATGGATGGAAGAGATGCAAGAGCAGGTGTGATGTATGGCTGGAATTCCTGCTCTCAGGAGGCTGAGGCAGGAGAACTGCCAAAAGTTTGACGTCAGCTTGGGCTACACAGTACATTCAGGCCAACCTAGACCCCTGTCTCCAACCAATGCCCTCCCCCGAAAAAAGAAAAAAAACCGAGACAGAGATTTTTTTGAGCCAAGCTGATTAAAGGGGTTGTTTGTGAACTGTCCCCTCACACCATGCTGTAGCAATTCGTAGTCGTTTCCGTATCTTACTCCAGCGTGAGGGTCCTTTGCCGTGACTCAACCTGTATTTAGAATGAACCTGAGCTATTACTCGTTTTAAAATGTCCTTTAGTGCTTAATAGCTGATGTTCAGCAAGCGCTGGGTGAGTATTTATTAACTGATAGATACCAGTGAGCGGCGGCCGGACACTGCCCTCTCCCGGTCGCAGTGGCGCCCGCAGTCAAAGGGCAGTGCCAAGCAGTTCCGCGCCCTCAGCCCGCAGCAGTCAGGCCGTGTGCGCCTCGCCGAGGCTCTGCTTTCCTGAGTTAGTGAGGGCCGTCCTCCTCCTCGCTTGTGGCGGCAGCGTGTGTGAGTGAGTACTAAGCCTGCCTTCCTTCCTGCCCTAGAATCACTTTGGTGACCTGGACTGTGGCCACTACACCGCTTTCTGTTGGAACTCTGACACCCAGGCCTGGTACAGCTTTGATGACACTCGGGTCAGTGAGATTCCAGCGACTTCGGTTCAAACCACTACGGCCTATCTCCTGTTCTACAGCTGCCAGTCCTTCTCCAAACCTACACAAAAGTGCAAGTGCTAGGAGAGAGACGGCTGTTTCCTGAAAACGCAAAACAAGCGATCAGGGAGTGCTGGTGAGGCTCTGCTTCGTCATTAAACCCTTGCAGCCTGCATCACTGGCGTCTCTTCATTCTTTCCTGCAGCCTTTATGAGACATGGCTACAGCAGAGAACAGGGGTCTTGGCTTATGGACAAAGCAGGAAAATACCACAAAGCTTGTAGGGGGAGGCCTCAAAGCACAATGGATTCTACAGTGAGTTCAAGTTCCAAAATTTATAGTGTTTGTTTTTGTGGATTTTTACTGTAAAATATGTTATATATACTCAACACATTTTAAAAAATGTTTCTGATACAGAATCTCACTATGTAGCTCAGGCTAGCCTTGAACTCACTATGTAGCCCCAGGCCACCTTCGAACTCATGGTGATCCTCCTGCCTCAGCCTCTGAGTGCTGCAACACATTATTTTCTAAAGATACTTCAAAGAGCTATGTACCACCACCACCACCCGGACTGGGGTGTAGCTCAGTGGGAGAGCACTTGCCTAGCATATACACGAGATCTTCAGTTTGATCTCAGTACTGCAAAAAATTTTGTTTGCTCAGATGGCTCTGTGAGCTTTGGAATGTGACCCGAAAACACTTAACTGACAATAATTTAGCCAAGATTCCAACACCTTTTCAAACTAGCTACAGAACACAAAAAAGCATCGGCTTTATCATTCAAGACCCAGGACCTTGTCCTCTGAAAGGTACATTCACGGGGACTGTGCTCAGGCGCACTAGTAGTCTCCTTACGGGGAGGCTTTCAGGGATTTCACGTGTAGCAACCGAGTCCCTGAGGTCAGTGCCAGGATCCCCGAGTCCCTCCTGCACGGCCTGTGTGCAGACGGCTCAGCACACACCCGCGCGGCAGTCAGGCCTGGCGCCTGGCCCTCTGACCTTAACTCACAAGAGTCTGCTCTGGATAGGATGGCTCTGGGCGTTGTCTTACCTCTTAATCTCACCGCCAAGGGCCACAGACGCTAGCGCAGTTCTGCGCCACATAGAAGAACGGAATCCTGATTCGGGAGATCAGGGAACTAAACTGAGAAGCAGAGTGACGGGCTACAGAGTGGGTGGGTGTGTACAGAGAACTGTGGGGGCACAAGCGACCGAAAATCTAAAACCTAGCAGAGGGAAGATATATCATGTACACTACAGATTCCCTGTGATGAGCATGATCATTATGAATACCTAAAATGTACCGATGCAGTTAAAAAAAATCTAAAATCTAAAACCACCGCAGGCTCTACTGTCCTGTACTGATTATACACCATGAAAGACAGAACACTTACAGGGCTTTAAATTACTTTTCTCATTAGTATTTTAATGTAGTAATGAGATTTTCGTTTTTAAAAAATTAAAGAAAGTTTCTGTTTATTTTTTAGAATAAAGATTTAGTGCACAAATACAGCCCAAAGCCAACAGAAAAATAGCTTTGCCCTGCTGATTCCCTAAGAAAGCACTGCAGCTACTCAGGATAGGCCCCCCCAAAAAACAGCAACAAAAAAACAAACTAAAACGCAGTCTTCCGAGCTCAAGCCTTCACAAGAAGAACACGTTAAACTATGTACATCAATCTGAGTGCAAGTGTGCAATAAATATGTACACGTACATTCCTACCTGTTTCCCATCGTTCTAGAGTATCTTAGCAGACAGCTAGGGTTAGAAACGTGAAAAGGCCGTAACAGTGGAAAGGAAAATGAAGGTTACAGTGGTTCTTCAACCAGTAGTATAATAATGCTTTGCCAGTTAGTTATTTTAACTTTGGTGCAGACTAAAAAAGTTTTGAAATAACTGGTAAGGGACGCTTAGTGCGATACTTGCTAACGCTGCTTGTCAGTTCTGGTAAGAGCCCCGGCCTGAATGACAGAGTGCCAGGAACACAGCCCCCTGGGCCCAGCGTCCTCTACACAGCCGGCTTAGCTACCTATTATTTCGTAAGCATTTCAGGAGTTGTGCTGCTTAGCCTTTGAGAACCTAACTCACTCGGCACCTAATCTTATGTGGCTACATCAGCGGCTCGTGGTCCCAGTGAAGTATAAAAGAGAATATATGCTGCTGATGACTTCACAGAAGAAACAGAGATATCAGAAACTTCATGATCGTCAAACTTAAACCACCGCTGTCTTGCTGCGTTTTTACAGTAAGCGGTATAGTGGCCTCCGTCCAGCCCGCCGTAGTGATTCTGTGCAAAACAAGATGAAACACCCGTGAGAACAGTCAGTCAGCTCATCTCGGCCTCGCGCTGTGCTCATGCTCCTGGCTAGGGAGTCCCTTGAAACTCTGGTTTTATTAGTTTTCTTTGGACAAAGTCTTTAGTTCAGGAGATACTTACTGAAACAGAAAACAAGTTGTATTTCTTCAAGTTGTTCTTTGGGCCAATAACGTACTGTGACAAGTCGAGATTTTCTAGTGGGAAGTCCACAGATGTTTGCAATTTCTGCTTCCACCTGCCATCGTAGGAAAAACTGCAAAATACAGCGTTACAGGAATGACACTCAGAGAGACAGAAGAAGAACCTTACTCATGCAACCGCTGGATTTTCTGCCTCAAAGTTCAAGTCAAAGACCTAGAATTTTAGTAGTGCAAGCATCTTTAATTTTATGAATGAGGAAACGGAGATAGCAAGTATTCAATGCCACGTCCAAGGCCCATCAGCTGGCACGGCAGAGCTGGGTCTGCAAGGGGGGCCCTGACTCTTCTGCAAGCTGACACTGCAGACCAGGCTTCTCCAGAGGTAAGCGCAGGCCTGCGCCGCCACAAGAGCACCCGGGGAGCCCGAGGAGAGCTGCGCTGGAGCGAACGCGTACTTGTAGCAAAACCAGAGCCACCCTGACTGCGGGCGGCCCTGTGATCCCAACCGTGGCACCCATTCGCAGCACACTCTGTTCCCCCAAGTGCTGATACTCGGTGTGATATGCTAACGTTCTGTGGTGACATGGACTGAACCCAAGGCCTGACGCGCCACCCAAGCACCTGCCCACCGAGCTACACACACGGCCCCCTGAATTATGGTTTAAATACTTAGTTCTGGGAACTACTGAGATGGTGGGAGGGAAGTGTCCTTTGCGTGAATCTGTAAACGAGGAGAGTTAAACAGAAATAAGAAACTATAAGGGGTGGTCAAAACAGTGAACATTTAAAGTTTAAACACGTATTACACAGTAAAAGACAGTACCATTAATTCCCTCAAAACCCTCCCCCTCCTCCTGATCACATCCATCCCCTGTTCTTGTCACTTCCTGCAGAGTTCTGGAGTGCTCTTTCTTGCTCTTTCTTTTTTCTGGAGTCCTCTTTCTGAGTATCCTTATGAGTGAGATTAAAAAATACAGTGAATGCTGCTGCCGAGCGCCATCAAAGGCAGGGCAGCTCATAAACACATGACGCCGTGTCCTCATCCGCCTTACTCACCGGATCCGGCGCTGTGCAACTTCCAGCTCTTCTCTGAATTTAAAATGACCGTGTAAGAGAAACATTTTGAATCCATTCAGGACACTGAGGCGGCCACAACTGAAGACTCAGGAAAGAGGACTGCAGAACCGCTTCCGGCTGGCGAGAGCCATGGGGTGAGTGTGTGCAAAGGGAGGGGCCGATTCTGAGGTGTTTGTGACAGTGTGTCTTTTACTGTACGGAATTTAAAAAGTTAAAACACCTTTTTAATTACACCTCATATATTCTGAGGAAAGAGAGGAGGAAGAGCTGTGGGGATCAAGAGGTGACAGGAAAGCTGAAGAGGGTAACTGCACAAGTGTAAGCACAACAGAGGAAAGTTCAAAGCAGCCCCCAGCGCAGCCCTGGGAGGGCAGGAGACGCACAGACAAACAAGTGGCTGGCCCCGCTGGGGAAGGCAAAGGCCACAGTGACTGCAGGCTGCAGCCCAGCACGGGGGTTTGCTGTGACAGCGGCCCCTCAAGTGCCAGAGGCCTTGGGTTAGAAACCCGCGGCAGTGCCGGCCGTGGGTCTGGGTGTTGTGACCAGGAGCCCACGGGGGGACTTACGGTTCGGAGTCACAGAGCACTCACACTTCACCCCTCCTGGTCTCTAGGGACACCCTGATGCAGTGACTGGGTGGGAAGGCTGGCTGCAGACCCCTGGGGAGGTGTAAACAGCGGGATCGAGGCTGTGGAGGGCTCCGCGCTGAGTGTGCCAGGATCAAGGCGCGTGGACTGACCACCCAGCTCCCTTGCTGCGCCCGCTGCCGTATGGGCCGAGGGCTGCTGCTTTCCCACAGCCAGCGTGTCTGGGCCGTGCTGCTTGGATACCTGCCGCGTGTGGGCCCGGACGAGGAGCCTGTGCCGGAGGGGGGCAGCTAACCGGCTGCGCCAGCAGAGCCCACAGCGATGCACAGAAGCAAAACCAGAAAGCCGCTGCCTAAGCGGACCCTGGAGACAGCAGCCTCGCCGGGGGGAGGCGGGAGGGCCCAGCACCTGTGTGGTGTCGCAGTTCAGGGGCGAGGACAGAAAGTACCGGAGGCTCCGGCTGTGGCCCCTGCTGCCCCTCCCTGATACTACAGCTCCCAGGAGAAGGCCACTGAGACCAACACCTGGGCACAGAGGGTTTTCTTTTCCCTGCTTTTTTCTTTTTTCCTCTGTAAAACAAGCTAACTGCAGTTACCTTTTTAATTGGATATTGTATCTTGTTCTTCTCTTCCTTTTTAAAAAGCATTTACTGCTGCTTCCATTAGCCCCTTGCCCCACCCCTCCACTTCATTATTACTTTGATCTTGTCTTACTTTTCAGCCTTTTAGCTGATAGTACTGCTGCCGTCCCTTCCGTTGTGAATGGTGGTACAGTCAGTGCTTTTCACTGTATGTCAGTGTTGGCATTACTGCAGACTGTCTCTCGCCCTCTGAGGGTATTGGGGGTCAAGCCATCAAAAGCAGGCTGGTCACTCAGAAGACCCTCACGTCCCTTCCCACAGATACACAAAGCTCAGCGCAAACACAGGAAGTAGGAAAAACAAGGCAGTCTGACTCCTCCAAATGACCGTAACTCCTCAGTGACTGAATGTAAAGGTAGCAAAGTAGATGAAACACCGAAGAATCGAACAGTTGATTTTTAGAATGATTAATACTTCAAAGAGGACAGAAATACACAGCTGAGTAAATTAAGGACGACAGCGCAGGACATAAAGAAGCACCCCAACAAAGGGAGGGATCCTGAAGAAGACCTGAGCAGAAATCTTGGAGTGAGATATAAAAAACAAAACGAAAACCCTCGGTGGAAAGCATCACCGGTACTTTGGAGCAAGCACAATACAAAATTTCAAGCTTGAAGACCAGGTTGATGAATTATCACTTAGCAATAAAGAATAAAAGTGATAACAAAACATCCTAGAACTCTGGGACATACAAAAAGACCAAACTTAAGAAATTTTGATGTAGAAGACGGTGCTCAGGAAAAGACTAAAGGCACAGAAAATATATTCAGTGAAACAGCAGAAAGTCTTGCAAAAGATAAAGACATCCAAGCACAGGAGGCATAAGGAACCCCAAACCGGCTTGACCAGAAAAGAAGCTCCTCCGGTCATCTTACAGGTAAAACGCCAAGCATCCAGAGCAAGGAAAGTACTGAAAACTGCAGGAGAGAAAGGCCAAGCCACTAATAAGACAAACTTATCAGAATTGCTCCAGATTTCTCTGGAGAAATACTATCACAGCCAACAGGGCAAAGAATACTTATTCCAAGCCCTAAAAGAAGTACCAATCTAGATTACTATAACCAGCAAAACTTCTTCATAACTGAAGGAAAAATAAAGACTTTGAACGTAGGTATGGAGGTATAAACTAAAGGAATTCATGACCATTAAGCTAGCATATCAGAAAATAAAAGAACCTTTATTTCCTTTATCTTCTTATACATAGAAGAACCTTATCTTCTTATACGCAGAAGAGATGAGGTAGATAAACAAATGAAAACTGGGAAAAAATCAAACACTAGAGACAAATGACAAGAATTAGTATATACCTTTTGTTTTCTTGGTGTCAGCAATCAAACTCAGGGCCTCACGCTTGCCAGGCAGGTGCTGTACTGCTAAGCTACTTCCCTGGCCCTATCTTTCTGCTATCACCCTGAATGTAAATAGTATTCATTCTCCAATTAAAAGACACAGGCTACATGGGTTAAAAACCAAGACCCAATCCTTTGCTGCCCACATGGAACCCACCATCAAAGACGTACAGACTAAAAGTGAAAGGATGGAGAATGACACGGAATGGAATGGAAGGATAAGGAATGAACGAAATCTGGAAATCAGCAGGAGTAGCTACATCCTCCAAAGCAGACTTCAAGACAAAATTAGAAGAGACAAAAAAGGCCACTACATAAAGGGAAATTTATTTACATAAATTGGTAAAGGAAACAATCCCCCAAGAAGATACAACAATTATAAACATATGCATGGAACATTGGTGTACCCAGTTTCATAAACAGTACTTGACACACAGACCCCCACATAATAGTGGATGACTTCAATATCTCAATATTCATTCTTATTCTTAGGTCATCTAGACCAAGAAAAAAAAAATCAGAGTTAAATTACACCATACATAAAGTGAATTTAACAGTTATCTATCTACAGAACACTGCATCTGACAACTAGAGCATACACATACTTTTCAGCAGCTCATGCATAGAATGTCACACAAAATGCTTAATACAAAAAAATTAAAAGTTTCTTGCAACATTATCAAATCATGATAATCAACCATGAACGAAACTACAAAAACACATGCGGATTCAATGATTCACTTGGGTCATTCAATAAATCACAGAAAAATTTAAAAATACATAGAATCGAGTGAAAATGGAAACACAGCATACCAGAATCTCTAGGACCCAGCAAAGGCAGGTCTAAGAGGGAAGTTTATGGCTATGTGTGCCTACCTCAGATAGCCAGTGATGTATCTCAAGGTCTTAGAAAAGCAAGAACAAATGAAACCAAACCCAACAGAAAGAAATAAAGAGCAGAGTTGAGATTACTGAAATAGAATCTAAACGAACAATACATAGGATCAGTGAAACAGAACTGGTTCTTTAAAAACATAAACAAGGTTGATAAACCCTCACCCCAACTAAAAGGGAGAAGACATAAACTAATTCAACTGGAGGTAAAGGGAGGATGTTACAACAGACACCACTAAAATACAGAGGATCATTTTCAAAAGAAAATTTATATCCCAGTAAATTGGAGAATGTATAAGAAACGGGCAAACTTCCAGAGACATATGACTTTCTAAATCTGAATCAACAGGACATAACCTAAATAGATCAATACCAAGCAATGAGACTGAAGCAGCCGTAACAAATGTCCCAATGAAGAGAAGCCCAGGACCATACAGACTCAATGGTGACTACTGGCCTTTAAAGAAGAGCGAACGCACCAATGCACCTCAAAGTTTCCATGAAATAGAACGGGGCCAAACTAATTTTATGGGACCAGTATCGTCCTGGTACTAAAGCCAATTAGGAACATAACAAAAAAGGGAAATTATCAAACAATATTGCTGATGAACACACACACACAACCTTAATAAAATACTTACAAACTGGATTTAGTACGACACTAAAAAGATCATACATCATTACCAACTTCATTTCATTCCAGGGATGCAAAGATGGTTCAAAATATATAAAAAAAATTATGTTTATTAATATATCCCATAAATAGAATCAAGGATAGAATTACTTGATCATTTCAATCCCATTGAAAACACCTCTGACAGAATCCAACATCCCTTCATGATAATAGCCCTGAAGAAATTAGGTATCAAAGGATCATACTTCAGCACAGTAAAGGCAATATATGACAAATGCATAGCCAGCATCATAGCGGATGGGGAAAACCTGAGAGCATTTCCTCTAAGATCAGGAAAAAGAGAAGGATGTCCACTCACCAATTCAGCAGTCAGTGAAATTTTAACCAGAACAGTTAGGCAAAAGAAAGAAATAAAAAGATACAAACAGGAAAGAAAGAAATCAGTTTTTTTTTTTTACAGATGACATCATCCTATATTTAAGAAACCTTAAAGACTCTACCAAGACACTTTGGAGCTGATAAACAAACTGAGTAAAGAAGCAGAATACAAATCAACATTTAAAAAAGTGAGAATTAGGAAAGAAACACCAGAGAAACAATCACAAGGGAATTAGTACATTCCTTTCTGTAAGTTACCTATCATACAACAGTAACGAACAAGCTGAGAAATCAGGAACAATTCCGTGAATGATAGCTTTACCCACCCCTAAAGACAAATCCAAAAAACTCCTAGGAACCCAACTAATAAAGGGAGGTGAGATACCTCTGCAGTGAACATCGCAGACACTGAAGAAAGGAGTGGAAGACACTAGAAGACCGACAGAGGTCCCAAGTTCATGGATTGGCAGAAAACTGTTAGAATGGCCATGCTTCCAAAAGTGATCTAGTCAGTGCAATCCTCTGTCGGAAGTTCCAGTGACATTCTTCACGGAGTTGTAAAAAACCACCCTGAAATCCATACAGAAACGATGACCCAGGATAGCCAGAGCCTTGAACAAAGAGAGTAAGACTGGAGGCGTCACAATGAAATTAAGTCACATCCAATTAAAATGCTTCTGCACAGCCAAGGAACAGTCACGAATGAGAAGAGGCCGTACAACAGGAGAAAACCTCTGCCAGCTGCTCTTACGACAGAAGACTGAGACAAAGAACACATAAAAATGAACACAAAAGAAAAAGCCCAATCAATAAATGGATGAATGCATTGAATAGCCACTTCTCAAGAGAAGTAGAAATGATCAGTGCATTTATAAAAAACTGTTTAACATCTATCAGGGAGATGCAAGTCAAACCACTGAGGTTCCACCTCCCCCCAGTCAGCATGGCTATCAAGACTGAAAAACCAGTAAATGCTGGCAGGGATATGGTAAAATAACCTCCACACTGTCAGAATGCAAATTAGTACAGCTTCTACAGAAATCAGTATGGAGATTCCTCAAACTATAAATAGAACCACCACATGACCTTGTTCTACCATTCCCTGGTGCTTACCCAAAGGAATTAACGTCAGCATCTTACAGGGTTATGTGCGTACCATGGTAACTGCAACACAACTCACAACAGCCAAATATAACCCAACCTAGCTGACCACCAGTGGATGACAGGCTACAAAGAATGTGGTAATACATACACAATGGAGTACTATTCAGCCATAAAGAAGAATGAAATTATGTCAGCTGCAGGAAAATGGAAGGAACTAGATCATTCATCATGTTGAGCAAAATAAGCCAGACCTAGGAAGACAAGCACTATATATTTTCTGTAATACATACAATCCTAAAGAGAGAAAAAGATGACCCGAAAGTATGAGAAAACTATTATTACTAGGCAATAGGAAGGGAAAGGAAGTGTAAAGCAGGGCAGTGTGGAGATAGACATGATCAAATTATGTTATACGTATGTATGAAAATACCTAATTATTGAAAATTTTATAAAATTAATATGCACTAATAAAACACATAAAAAAACTGAATTCTGAACCAAATATATTTCTGATATCCTCCAATAATGTTCAACAATAAAACTTTTAACGGATCTGTGGTCAACTTATAGCATGTTTATAACTCCCCAGTTCTCAAAAGAAAAATTGATAGTTTTTTGTTAGACCTTTCACAAGAGAAATCCGAACATGTCCATGTTGAAATTAACACAAGCAACTGCCTAAGAATATCTAACACTAAGAGAAATGTTTTCTTTAAAGCAAAAATTGTTATGGCTCAGTAAAAAGAAACTTCCTTTGAAGAGATTTTTAAAATTTACTGAAAGTCACCACTCCACCAATGGACTACACAGGAAGAATGAGAGTGGAAGGCCTTGCATGTGTTTTGTAGCTTCTACATTATTTCTGCTATTGTAGAACTGGATTTTTTTTTTTTTTTTATTGGTTAGAAATATCTGGGCAAAAACCATCTGCATTTGACACTGAGATCATTAACATATTTTATCTTTAAATTACACTTAAAAAAAATCAAGTACTTCATTCTGAACAACTTAATCTGCTTTGTTATGCTTAGTTTAATGTTCGCATGTTAAATTTTAGCTGCTACTGTATTGTTAGAAGCATACTGTACAACCATTTCTACAGTTCCATTTGACGTCATGATCAAAGGTGTTAAACTCGCAGTCAGTCATCAGCTGCCCTGGCTCTGAGGAAGTGGATCCCACACACAGCATGACACAGTGGCACTGTCACCTGGGGTCATTTCTGCCTCGCGTCCCAAGAGCTCCCTAAGCAGATATGCGTAACAACCTGTGTTATGTTTCCCTAGCAGGCAGTGCAGTAACTTACTCAGGACTCATCTAAATCTTACAAAACAGGAAAAAATTTGCTTGGTTACCGTTTCAGATGCACTAAAAGCACAGGTGGCAACTTCCAGATTTCTATCTTTTTGAGAGAATCCCGCCGAGCTCTGCAGTGACTACAGTAAAATCTGTTGTTATCTGTGAGTTTTTCTTCTTTGGAAAATAATCTAAGGCAATCCTGGTGGAAAAAATAAGTAGCATGTGTTCAATAAAACATTGGGCAAAAAATAAAACATAGTATA